CAGCAGAAGGAGGTCAGAGCTTTCTGGTCCCCGGGGTCTGTGTCCCGCTCCCCTCAGTGTTTCAGGATGGTGGGGGTGATCATCCTGGGGTGGGAGTATGTGCCGTGGAGATGATGCACATGGCAGCCCCCCGCTACGACATGGACCGCTTCGGGGTCGTGTTCCGCGCCAGCCCCCGCCAGGCCGACGTCATGATCGTGGCAGGGACCCTCACCAACAAAATGGCCCCGGCCCTGCGCAAGGTACCGGCACCTGGGGGGCTTTGGGGTCGGCGGGGGGGACTGGGGTGATCCCAAATATCCCTGTTCCGCAGGTCTACGACCAGATGCCCGAGCCTCGCTACGTGGTGTCCATGGGGAGGTGGGTGCTGGGCCCCCTGTGAGGGGAGTCTGTGTGTGCAGGGAGAGGGAGGGAGGGGGATTCTTTGCTCACCTGTTACTCCAAGCCCTTAGGTTCTCTAAAGAGGCCCCACAGAGTGGGACAGTAAAGCTGCCTCTGACTGGGAATGACGTGTGTGAGTCACTGGGTGCTGCACAGTCCCCCCAGGGGCAGGTCCAGGGGGTTGCAGCTGCCAGAGTTCAGGAGCTTGTGTATGTCCAGAATCCTGGAATTTGCAATTGGGCTCAAAATGTACCAGCCGGGGCTCCTGAAGGGCTGAAGGACCACGGTGTCACTGCCCTGTCCCTCCCTGGAGCTCAGCCAGTGCCCACCTGCTGAGGTCACCTTCCCTTGACCTCCTGTCCCCCTTCTGGGCTGACCAAGGGTCTGACCCTGCCCCTCTCCTGCAGCTGTGCCAATGGTGGAGGGTACTACCACTACTCCTACTCTGTGGTGAGGGGCTGCGACCGCATCGTGCCCGTGGACATCTACGTGCCAGGTAGGGTGGGAGCGAGGGAGTTCTGGGCATTCCCACAGAGCTGGGGGAGGTTTCAGAGGTTTTTCCTGTTTCAAACTGTGCTGGTGAAGCTGCAGCAGCTTCAGGGAGCTCTGCTGGGGTTGCAGCGAGGGCTGAGCTGGTGGTGTCACTGTCAGGGCTGTGGGAGGTGCGAGCTGTGGTTGAGACACACTTTGCCTGGAATCAAAGCATTGCTTTGATAAAGACCTCCTTTGAAAAACACCAGCAATTTAGTGTCTTTAACCACGTGCCTGTACGAGCAGCCTGTGCCAGCCACAAAGCCAGGGGGAAGTCACAGCTTTGGGATAAAGCCCAGGGTTGTCACCTCCCCTGCCGGCTCCAGCTCCGGGCAGGTACCAGCCCTGTGACCATCCATCCTTCCTTCCCCTCCCCTCTCTCTCTCTCAGGTTGCCCCCCTACAGCTGAGGCTTTGCTCTACGGGATCCTGCAGCTCCAGAGGAAAATCAAGCGGGAGAAGAGGATTCAGATCTGGTACAGGAAATAGCCTTTATTTATGTCCCCTCTGCCCCCGGGCACCGCTCACGTCACGCACAAATCCGGGGCCTCACGCGCCTTCAATAAACCTCTACCTGCTCGAGGTGCTTCTCTGTCTTTAATAAATCCCTGTGATGGAAAAACTGGACTGAAAAAACTGGACTAAAAAGCTGGAGCTGAACTTGGTAACACTCAGTGTGTTGGCTTGTGCTCTGAACAACCTGAGGGAAGGAGAATGATGTCATGTCACGACATAAAGGCCTTGCCAGAAGCTGGGATGTGCTTTTTAGTTTTATTGGGAAGTTTTGAGACCAGCACATGTCCAGGTGATCCCTGAGCTCTTTCCTTACTCACCAGCTGCTCATGTTGATAATTCCCACACGAGATCTAGTAGATCCATAATATCTGTGTGCACAGGGGCCAGGCAGTCATTCTGTTTGTGTAACTAAGTAAAATATTAGTGCTTAAAATCACAATCTGACTAATAAAACCGAATGCAGAGCTCCTTAGCAGAGTAGGGATAAAGCAGCCTGTCCTGGCTGCATCCCAGGAGTCTGGGGTAAGGAATGGTGGTGGCAGAGTGACAAACACACTTTGGAAAGACAAATAAATAGCTCGGGAACAGAACAGCAGTTTGGGTATTTCATTCCTTTTAATGGACTTTATCCCTTCTGGGGAGAGAGGGAACATTTACTGAGCTGTGAGGGGGTGTCAAGGTCAGGACTCGCTGCCGTGGGCTTTGGCCAGAAGTGTTGGGAAACTTCCCTGGGGAGTTGCTCCAGGAGCAGCTGAAATGCCTCAAAACACCTCAAACTGCTCTGTCTTCCCAGTTTCTCCTGCCTGGTTTGGATTATTTGGCTCGTCTGTGGAAAGGCACCCTGTGGTATCTCAAAATAATCCAGTTTTTAGAGGAAATGGCTGGTTCTGGAACCCCTTTGGCCAAAGCCCTGGAATTCCAGCTTAATTGAGGGATTTGGAGATGAATCTTCAGTGGAAACCCTGAGAGGACAGAACAGGGTGGGATCTTCTTGGACAGAGCCCAGAAGACCCCTGTGGGGCAGGGGGCTCCTGGGGCAAGGAGCTTCCAGTCCTTTTGTCTGCTGGACTTCCATCCCAAGCCTCCAGCCCTGTCTGGATGGATCAGCTTCACTCTCTCAGCAGAAGGAGGTCAGAGCTTTC